CACCCGCAGTGGCATCTGGGTTCGGGTCTGCCCTCGTTCTCCTCATCATCACCCATTGCATCACCGTCCTCAGCTTCTAAGACCGGTTCGTGCTGCGGACGCTCTAGGCCTTCTTGCCGAGCCCCTGCCGCTTTGGTGTTGACTGTTGCGACGAAGCTCAAATTAGAAATCCTCGGCCCCGCTGCAGCCGAAGTGAATGCTTCATCAGTACCTGCAGCAGCATCTAGCGGGCGACTAGGGCGCTCGTCCCAAAATCCGCTAGTTTCCTGGCCAACCTTTGTCCCGTGCTGGCTGCGATGAGCAGCTGTGGTGTTGTAAGGTGTCGCAAAGCCGCCGGCTCCGTCCTGCGCTATCATTACATCAAGCTGGCGAGCGAGGTCGGGATCGTGTCTCCACTCCGTTTTCGTTGGCGTGCAATGAAGCGGCGTGAAGCCAACACTGCTGCTTGCATTTGCGGTAATTGTGTAGCGTAACGAGTCAAGGCCACGCGGCGTGGCCCTGATAGCTGGCTTGGGCGGCGCCACGTAACGATGCGACCTGATGCTTGTCTTGGCTGGCGACTGCGAGGGTAGGAGCGGTGGCGGTGTCACAGGGACTGCACCAGAACCGGCAGAGTAGGAGCGCCGAAGAGCGTTCTGAGCTGGCGATGATTTGGCTACCGGTACGGACTGCGGTTGTTGGGAGACAACCGCCGCTGATATTCGAGGCGGTGTTGTCGGTGGTGGGCGACTCCCGACTGCCAGCTGTGCCGAGAATCTGTGCGGGGCGTACACCGGTGGCGTGAGGGACTGGCTGGGACAGGCTGCAGGGCGTGGCCGGGGGCTTTGGTCAAAGCCTGTCGACGGCTTTGCAGGCTGCATGCTGAGCATTGCCTTCGGCTTGCTTTCCCTTCCAAGCCGCCCAAACCGTGTTTGCATTATCGCTGAGCTGCCAACATCCGTAGAGGCAGCAAGCGAGCTAGATGTCTGGGACTTCTTGCCATTGCCCGACCGTAGGCGATAGCGATCCATCTGTTTCCGTAGGACTGGTGACGGCCCGCGACCATAGACATAATGAGAGATGCTTGCCCGCTTTCGCACCCCCGACTCCTTGTCATCAGCTTCCTGATCCAGTTCAATTGCTATAAAGGGTCGAGGAGCGCATCCCTGCTGATAGTCGAAAGCGGACTGAGGTATCTTCTCGCCAAGACCATCAGAAAGAGATCGGTCCACTGCACCATAACGGTTGTTGCGGCCTACGCGGCAAGAGAGCGGATGGATGGAAAAGGTGATCACGAGTCCTGAATTGTAAGGCTCATTGCTTTTGAGCCAAGACTACGACTGCAACCCTCACCTTGCGGCTCCTTGGCTACGTGCAAGTAGTCCATGCAAGCGTCATACAATGCATCAAGTTTGGCAAGATCATTATCTCCGATGTCCCGGTCTGGGACTGTCGCCATGCTGCGTTGCCCGCTGTTATGAAAAACGCTGCAGCTAAATCGCCACGTGTAGGGCTGTATGGAAAGCACGCACTATTGAATCCAGCAGAGGCAATTTGCCTTGCACCACGTCTGGTGTCAAAGGTTTTGCGACATTATACAATTTGAACGTACGGTACTGGATCCTAGCCCATTAAAAGCGCACTCGAGGATGCTACCTCACAAGCGCAGTTTAAATAAGTAAACTGTTCTCCGTTGCTTTTAGGCGTATAGATATTGCCCTTGGGCCTTCGGCTCGTATGGGTAGTTTTACAGGTATGGGGTCACGCACCCCCAACCATGTAACACACACATATACACAAATAAGTAAAATACATTTAACGCAACACATTCAAAGGTCCTGCACAACATACGCTTGTGGGTATGAAACATCTTGGCGTTCCAAGTCCTGGCCCCAAATGCGCTCTCTGCAGCTGGTCCTAATGGCGGACGATTTCCTACACCAACACAGTTTACATAGCGATTTGCCTCCTGACCACATATCATTGGCCGAGGCTCGCTGAGCCACAACGGCTTGGGCACCCAACTCCACAATATCGGTACGGCAAGACCCCAAAGCACGGTCGTTCGCATCCAAGCCGTATATAAACGGCGTCTAGTTATTGTCAGGTGTCACGTGGAACGACCAACGAGCCTGTCGTAGATCTGCGTGCACGGAAATAGGTAATAGGGAATGTAGCCTTCTGCAGATGCCACCCCCTTGTAATTGTACGGAGGTAATGGCCAAACGAGGGCCGCGACTCGTGGGGCCAAGGGCTGACGGGCATGATATTAAGTGAAATAAGTTACAGAGGTACCGAAAGAAACGTCAACGCTGGTGTTTGGAAATACCATTTTGCCTGCTTGCCTGTCCCTGCCTAAAGAAGCACGTGTTTCAGGGATGGTACCGCTTCCCTTTCATCCAAACACCTCGACGACGTTCTGGCTGCTGACGCTTGGAGCGGCTGATGGGAAGTATTTCCCGCGGCAATCCTGCGGGGTATTTTTCGTGGAGATCTGTGTAACCCGCAGCAGCTCTGAGGCCTATATCGCTGGGCCCGGGGCAAGGCTAAGGCTCCGCCGTCGGCGAAATGGCTTGCTTGGCTTGCTCCGTCGGCGAAATGGCTTGCTTGGCTTGCTCGCCCTCCCATGCCACACAAACCCAGGTTGTGGCGACGCCGGTCTGGCTACATTACATGCAGGGGGGAGTTAGCTAACTTTATCGGACTTCTTGGCGCTGCCCGGCCGAAGGCTGTAACGCTGAATCTGCTTCTGTAGGATGGGCGACGGCCCGCGACCATAGGCGCGCTGAGAACTGCTTGTCCGCGCTCGCGTCCCTGATCCCTTGTCATTATTTCCATTCTGAAGCTCCATCATGCCAACGGGTCGGGGTGCGCAGTCCTCCTGATTGTCTAACGTCAGGCGAGGCGACTTCTCCCCAAAACCATCAGATAGGATTGCGTTACCTGGAGACAACCGTCATTGAAACCAAAAAGTGCGTGGAAATGAAAACGAGGGAAGTGACCATGCCTCCTAGGAGTAGGAGCATGGCTCCAGAGCCAATATAATAACCCTCACCTTGCAAAGGTTTGACTGAACTCAGGTAGTCCAAGCAAGCGTCACGCAGTGCATCTAGCTTGGCAAGGTCTTCATCTTCCACTTCACATCTAGAGAACGTGGCCATGTTGGCCTGCAATGATATCACGCTGCCTTGGAACCTTGCAAGCAAGTGGCTTTCGTGTAATGCTTTAAGACAAACATAGGTAAAGAAGGTTAAACCAATCAGTTCAGCTTTGCCTTGCCCTGTCCTGAGTTTCGCAACGATATACAATTTAAATGTACTGCCTGGGATCCAGGCTCATTTCAGGCCCAGCATCGCACAGCACACCGAAAGACATCTCCAAAGACGCTAAGGTAGCTATTTCGGAAAGCTAGAGCTTAAAATGATTGCTAAAAGTTAATATCCGCTTGCAGCCCAGCAAGGCACAAAATCATAGTCTACATCAGCCCGATGCACGATGATTCCCGTAAGTGTGAGCAAATACCCACCGTAGCAGATGAGACCAAAGCATTCATTTAGCCAGTGCATTCCGCGGGAAAACCGTTTGCCAAGTTGGGCTGGGATTTGCGCAAGACCGAGATGTTCGCAACCCAGTTGTCACTGATTTCTTACTTATTTGCCGGGTAGCAAGTCAGCATCATTCGTAGGCTACCAACCTGCAATAGACAAGAAGCGCCAGCGCCTGACATAATGTGGCACGAAGGCATTTACTTCTGTACCGGCGCGAGGGAAGCGGTTGGGGGCTGTACAGTGCGGCTACTAAAATGTCATGTGTAGGGAGAGCATTTCATTACATACAAACTAACCCGACGACATTTTACGCCAACATGCGCATGCACGCATGCAACAATAAAGCTCTCAAGAAATAGTCAAGGATCGTGGAAAAAAAAGAGCGTGTCAGGTTCTGCGCGATGCCTTTTGTGTGCGCCCCTATGCCGTGCAGTGCTAGAACTGCCGCGCACAAGGTCGTACGGTACAGCTCTATGTTGCACATCGTCTTGGCAGGGTCTGAGTTATGCTGTATACATGCATTGCGCGACATATTTGACTGTACGGTCACTCCCGGGGCAGGGACCCGGAACCATGGCGAGGGGCGGTTACAAGTTTACACCAGCAGCTCCACCACCAGTAGAGCATCGTCATCGGCTACAAAAAACTAAGCGCAGGTAGGCAGATGCCTCTGATATGTTGCATGTTGCAAAGCAAACAGCCCTCCTCTGCTCCGGCGCGACAGAATCCCTGCAGAATCCCTGCTGTGGGGTCATGTGCCTGATTGCTGGCCACGTCGCCATAAATATGGTTGGATTGTGATGCTTGGCGCCAATGAAATTTGCCGCGCCACCAAATACGCGACATGGACCAGATAAAGTTCCTCTGAATCATGCAAACAGCAAAAGCGCTGTGTATTATTAGTATACATGCATGGGACTAAGGCCATTTCGCCCCAATTCACTCCTTCATGCCCCGCAAAAGCCTCAACCGCACGACGGTGTGGCTCCAACCGCCTTCCATGTCATCAATCGTCAACTCCCAACCCCCATCGCCATGCCCATCTTTCCCCAGCAGCCCGCCCCTCCATAACTCACCCTCCATCCGGCTGCCATTCCGGAATTCTGTGGTGCCACATCCACCACCACCATCACCATCACCACCACCATCACGAGGGCCACCACCGCCGCACCCCACAACCCTGTAGAGGTACACCGCCTGCTGTTCGCCGCAGCCGCCACTGCCACCGTCGCCGCGGTGGTGGTGGTCGCAACCGCCATTAAGACGGTGGTGATAACGGCAGACCATGCCCCTGCCCTTGCCTACCCCGGACGATTCTCCGATTAGATCCGGATCTGGAATCACGTTAGACGGATGAAGGCCTGGATGCGACAGGACTGCAGCTGGCCCGGACACCTTCACTGGCAGCACCCGACGGGGTGTCGAACAGGCCTCACGGGCCTCGGCTTCATCGTCAGGTCCGAGCGCAGTGCCCAGTTGCCCGCGGGAGTTGCTGCCCCAGCCGTACAGCCGCCCGCCGGCAGCCAGCGCGAGGCTGTGTCGGCCGCCACAGCTGACCTGAACGGGGAGCACGAGGGCACTTAGGGCAGGGCTGGTTTGGGAGGGAACTGATGAAGACGCAGGGGTCGTGGTGAAACGAACGTACAACATGTGCCGAAGCGCGAGGTGAGCATTTACACAAACAGAAACAAAACACACGCACATACACATGCACCGCGGAGCTGACGGCTGCAGCGCGGTGCCCCCCGAGTTTTTCATTCGTCAGGAAACGAACAGCCACGAGGACCCGCATGAGCTATGCACGGTGAAGTGGTGGTGGTGTGGGTGTTCCAACCCTGCCTGGGAGGACGTCGGAGCAACACGACGACGGTGAGGGCGGGGACACGTAGGTGGGTGCAGAACCCCCCCCTCACGACGGCTACACGACGGGCCCCCTGCTGTGCGGAGCTCCTCTTTCCCGCGGGGGCCCCTTTACGCACACAACCCTACACACTTGTGCGGAACTTTCATCTCGAAACACGTACAGCTGCTGCGAAGCCACACCACCTGCACTGCCTAATTAAGCTACCAAAAGGACCACACAGGAAATCGGATTCAGCTCACCTTCACAATATCTTCCTCCTCGTCGTCCTCATCTTGATCTTCATCTCCTCCTCCGTCCAAAGCGCCCCTTTTCGTCATGACCGTATGATCCGCAGGAACAGCAAATCCCTCTGCCGCCTCTGCCGCCGCCTCTGCCGTGTTGTCACCGTCGTTGCCTACGTGCCGACCACCACCGCTACCACCACCACCACCACCACCACGTCCGCCATCATAGCTACGTCGGCTCCTTTTCCTGCTACTGCTGATGCCGCCGCCTAAGCTACTGCCGGCACCGTCATGTGACCCTGTCTCCCCATCACCGACCGCCGTATGGAACTCCCGGGCCCCGGCTGCAGCGGCCTCATCGCGGTCATCAGTACCGCCATCGCCACCTGCAGCGGCAGCGGCAGCGGCTGTACCAGCAGTTGTTGTCTGCAACCCTCCACGACGTGACCGGCGTGGGATGGGAAGGAGCTGCGGCTCGGACAGGAAACTGGAGGCGCCGAACACTGCGGTAGCGGAACCCAACCCGCACTGCCCCGCATCGTTCCAGCCCCATGCCACAACCTGCCCCGCCTCTGTCCTCAAGGGAGACATCGGGTGGTGTCGGGAGCGAGGAGGGACGAGGGGGAGGGTGGGTGGGTGGAGGGTTTCAGGGTTTGTAGGGTTAGGAGGGGTGGGTTAGGAAGCACGAAGCATGTGAGCACGTTGCAGGATGGGAAATGGTTAGGGTTCTGTAAGGCGACTGGGGTGGGGGCCGGAGCCGCCGTGGCGATGGTGTGGCCGGGTCGTGGTGTGGGGTGAACGTCTATGGTTGCATGTGGCGGTGGATGACACGTACATTAACACATGTGTGCTAGCGCCCACGAGCGCATCACACCCAGCCCGCATTCACCCTCGCCCTCACCCTGCGCCACCGAAACCCGCACTAAGCCCCCCACCCCCATAACCCCCAGCTGGATGGGGCCCCCCTGGACTCCCCCTGGGGCCCCCCTCCAGACGCTATCCTAACCCCCTCTCCCTCCGCTCTACAAACCCTAGCGCCCCCCTTGCCCTACCTGTGAGTGCCAGGGAATGTCCCAGCCCAGCCGCCACACTCCGACACGGAACACCGCCCAGTGCCCCCCCTTGCACCCGCACGGGGCTGGTGACGGCCGCCCGGCCCGTCGCATTCCCCGCCGCAAGCGCCTCCACCCCGCACTGGCCGTACCCATTCCAACCCCAGGCCCACACGGCCCCTTGCAAGTCGACCGCCAGGTTGTGGCGTGAGCCACAGGCCACCTGTGTGCGTGTGTGCGTGTGTGCATGTGTGTGTATGTATGTGTATGTACGAGGGTGGAGAAAAAATGCATTGAGGGTTTGTTAGGATCGCTGTTGTCAAGAGCTGCGTCCTCAACTACGTCAGAAAGCTAACTGGCACTTATGCATGCTCCCCCTACTCCCACCAGGTTTTCACTACCAGTCGCAGTGCAAGCGCTATCCGAGCTATAAGTGTGCGGATCAGCCGATGGATGTCTGTAACACCTACCATCAGTTCCACGGGACGAGCACGTGGGCCGTACCCTGTGGCGCATACCTCCGTACCTGTCGTACTTGGACAGGCACAGGCACTTGTGCAGGGCGCATCCGCGGATATCGCCCATCACGCGCTCCTTCCGCTGCTGCTGCTGCCGATAGTGGTGGTGGTGCTGCTGCTCGCGGGGCTCCTCTCCAGCCGCCGTCGCCGCCGCCTGCACCAAGGTGTCCCCCGCGCCGACTATAGTCCCAAAGCTGTGTGCTGTCAGGGGTACAGCCACCACCTTGAGCCCTACCCAACGTGCGGCCGCTGCTGCTGCTGCTGCTGCTGCTATCATACAGATCCACATTTGTTTGTCCACATGATACGTCAGCCCTCATGCCGCCGGTGCTCATGTCTGCACCGGTGCTCATGTCTGCATGGGCGCGCGTGTCCACTGCGTTCCATGTTCCTGCTGCTCCTGCTGCTGCTCCTGCTGCTGCCATTCCCGCTCCCGGTGTATATGCGCGGGAGTCCACGTCAGCACCCCCGACGGTGAGTGGTACCACCCGCCACGAGCGGTCGTCGGGGCCGCACTGGAGGTCCCTGCCGCTGCTGCTGTGTGTGGTCCACTCCCACAGGGACCCGTTGGCGGCCCGGGCCAATGTGTGGTGCTCGCCTTGAAGGAGATGATTGGGTCGGGGGGGAGAGGGGCAGCATGCAAGCCGGTAGGAAGTAGAGTGGATGAAGCAGGTGGTGCACATGGTGGGAGCTGGGGAGCTGGGGAAAGGCGCAGGAAGGGCAACTGGGCGAAGGGAATCATCATCCTACGCAATGACAAGGAATTAACGGCCACCGCCCAAACCGCAGTACATGTGTGTGTGGGGGGGCCAATTGGAGTGGGGGGATGTAAGTGGAGGTGTACGGGTGTAGGAGATCTTAAGGCTCGAGACGAACATGGCACTGTGGTGCTTTGCGCCGAAGAGCAGCCGGCAGGCTTCCTCTTACCTGCTGCAACCTGTACAACAGGCCCAGCGTCGTACGGCAGCTCTATCCAGCTCAGACAGCGATGTCCCTCGTCGGTACCCCTACTTCCACACCCTGCTCTTCTGGCGGATGTTGCTTCCAGAACCTGGTTGGCAGTTGAGGAGGGGGCGCTGCTGCCGCCTCCTCCATCGCCGCTGTTGTCATAAGCCCCGGCAAAATTGCTGTACAGCCAGCAGCTACCACCACGGTGGTGGGGACTGGGGGCCGGGGCTACCACTGCATGCGCCCAGCCCACTGCCGCGACAGGGTTCTGCCCAGCAGCCGCACCGGGCTGGTGGTGGTGGTGGCTTTGGTGTTGCTGGTGTTGGTCTTGCTGGATACGGTGCAGGAGATGGTTGTGGCACTCGGGCAATGCTGAGGATGAGGGTAGGGGCTGGCAGGGCGAATTTTGGAGAGGGTTTTTCCGAGGGGTGGGTGAGTCATAACCCAATGCGTTGTGGATGTGCGGAAGCTCTGACGCGGTTGGGGGCTGGAGGCTGGCTGTCGCGCGGTCGGCATCACTGGGGGGAGGGTAGGCGGGTTCCAGCGCTGGCGAGGCTGCTAATAGGGAGCGAGGCGCCTGGATCCGCCGCCCGTCGCGCCCTTCCAGAACTGCCCCACCGTGGGCTGGCGGCTCCAGAACCCATGCATGGCGGTTAATAGGTATGTAGTTACCCTCGAGAGCGTTTAGGCGATGTGCGGGTCTCGCACATGGAACCTCCAAGCGCACTAGACGCGTGTGGCGAGAACAGAAGGCCACAGCGCAGCCCCACGAGCATGATTGCTGCGGCAGTTGCCATGAGCAAGGAAGGCTGTGTTTGTCGTAGATGGTTTGTTGGGTCTTTGGTCCGCCTGATGTTACCGGCCGGATGACGCCGCCATCCGGCATCGATCCGCCCGGCGGGGGACCTACGTGCCCCGGAATCAACTCGCTCGTTACAACAGACCAGCCAAGTACTGCCAGGAGCACCGGCTCAGGCTGCATCAGTCAAGGTTATGTGACCCTGGGCTGTTCCGGGAGGGGCCGGTTCCATCAACCGCCAGAAAAAAAACGTAGGGCTTATGCTAAGTGTCAATACCAACTTGAAAGATGCATCAATTACATTTTATGGAAATGATAGTTTGATTACCATTAAATACAGAATGCAGCTGCGTTGCGTACGCTGGTAACCGTTAAGGAAAACCTTGCATCCATTCGCGAATCGGGAGGAAACAGTCCACTTTATGAAGTATCAAGACTTTCCCTCTATGACAGTGCATATTTCCGGTTCACAGCATGGGCTCGTTCTGCCACCGATGCTCCGGTGCCAAATTGTACGACGCTCCTAATGCGATGAACCTGCGCGCGTGCGCGGGACCTCTTGCGCAGGACTTCCTTTGAATCTACACGTGGGCACACCATTCGCAACGTCGCTTCGAGTATGCCATGGGTTTCCATTGTTTAAGGCACGCTTCGGCGTCTGGACCCGCATGCCCCCGCCCGTCCTCCAATGGCCGTGTCCGTAGAAAATCCCACTGCCTCCTCCCTCGCAACTGATCATCCCTTTGATACAGCGCTAGTCCAGCCCATTAAAGCTCTTCTCTTCGTGTCAGGACGGCGCAGACTTTTGCTGGATCAGAAAGTAAGGGAAGTCGGCAAGCCGGACTTGGCACGTGAGCTAATCATCATCCGCACCCTCCGGATTCCTGTAGGAACACAATATGAAATAGCAATCTGCGACGAATCTGACATAATCGAGGGTTCTTCCGTCTCGGATTTGACCTTTTCGAAATCCATCGGCGATTAGCTGTGTCGCCTTGTGTTATCCTGAAAGCTAGCCGTTTGCCAGGTTATAGTACAAGTTTCAGTATATTGCGAGCTGCGAAACTGAAGTTGGAGGGCCCCCGGCTGCTGTCGTATCGTTATTCTTAGTGCCATTACGTCCCCACAGTCATACAGTACGCAGCAAAAGGGAGTATGTTGGCGAGTCTTTAACGCACTGATTGCCTGGTCTCAAGGCGAGCTACGCAATGTTCTGCCGTTTCACCATCGCGCCATGAGCACAGGACAGTATTACAGGGTTTGCCGAGCGCTGCTACGATCTGTGCAACTAAGTGATACCACATCTAGCTCTGGCGATGAACCTCTTGGCGGTCAGGTAAACGGACCATAAGTATGCAGACGCTGTCAGGAGGACTCGGGAGGCGTTGGAGGCAGACAGATGCAACTATGGATGTTGAATCTGTGAGTAGGGGGGATTGTACTAGCCATGCATGAAAAGACCTGGAGCATAGGAAACCACCGACGACATAGAGATACTTTGACCAAGGCTGCCCACCTTTCCTCTTTCTCCTCTGCAGCTTGGCGGCATCAGTACATCAAGTTCTGTTGAACGCCAAGCCATGAGAGAGCAGCTAGATGCAGTGCGGCAAACATTGAATTCGTTGTCAAGCCAACCTCAGCCAAATGCTAGCGGAGTCAACGCTACGCTGGAGCCTGCCCTCAACGAAATTGTTGCTAAGCTTTCAAATATTGAAGGTCTCTATACAAGCCTGACGAACAAGCTTGAAAAAGTGGACCTCAGAGTGGAGGACAGCGAGCGGCACATCAAAGAGTTGCAGCACTTGTCCGCGGGCGCCATTAATGAAACTCGACGCTTGGTACGTTCAAAGAATCGGGAGAGTGGTTCGGTTTCATTGCGAGTTCGCACAACCTCCAAGTTTTTGAACCGAGGGTTAGACCCCTTTTTGGGACATGTGTAAAACGCTTCCTCCGTCCGGCTCAACGGCCCACTATAAATGCGCCGTGTTATCCCATAAATGCGCCATGTTCAGGTCGACTATGTCGTCGCGACCCCCAACCCGCGCACTTCCAGCCAGGCCGGTACAGGCCTGCCCGGCATCAGCGGCACAGCATCACTGCGCACTCGCAATTTGGCTGCGGCTGGCATGCCTACCACGCCAACCCAGCACGCTTTATCGCCGCAACGAAGCACGTTGGGGACCCTGGAGGGCGTGCCGCCCCATGTGACCACCAGCATCCAACAGCACGCAGCGCAGATTCACAAGCTCATTGCCGGCTTGGATTTCCTGGAGGCGCATATCATCCGTCAGGACCAGCTGGTTGAAACCCTGCAGAAGCAGCTCTTGTCGGTGAGTATACAGGACCGGCGTATCATGGAGGGTTGGGGTTTTATGACACCCGGCCTACAGCACCCGACATGCGGGCGTGCGGATACAGACGCGCTGTAACACCTTCTTACATGGGCCGCACGAGCGGCCCTTGACAGGAGCCACACGACTTGCCGTTGCGGTACAAAGCATCTGCAGTACCCATCCTGAAGTCTGACGTATGATTATTCAGACAGTACCATGGATATGCTTAGTCACAGAGTATCAAGGACTTGTTTATTCGTTACACAGCATCATGGAACGAGATTAGGCATGTACTCGCCCTGTGTTTATGGCCTCAGGTTGCGCGGGATGTCGCTACATCGTCAGCAGGTCCAGAGAGCCGCAACAGCCCTAGCGAGTTGTCCCTGCGTGTGCACGACATGGGCGAGCTGCTCAACAAGTTACGTGCCCATATGTATAAGGTGGAGAAGAAAACCAGCAGCAACGACCAGGCGCTGGCTCTGCTGACGCAGCGCATACATGCCGTGGAGTCAGCCGCGGGGCAACAAAAAACGGGTAACGGGGAATCATCCAACGAGCAGGAAGGAACTCTGGCCCCGGTAGGTCGCGCTCCTTGCTGCTGAAGCCTCGTCGTTGAAAACAGCCCTGAAACTGAAAGACTGCCAAATTGCCACATGTTTGGCAAGGCTGTTCCCCGGATATTGAATCATTAGGGGAAAGGTTTCAGACTGCAAATTTCCTGTGAATTGCTTAGAAAGCAGGGCCACGACGCAACCTGACGCCATGTTGCGACCCCGTTTCCGTACGCCCAAGCTGGGTGCTTGTGTGTGCTGCGCCATTGGGTTGGGCCAGGTATATTTATTGTATCCTCGCATCTCACTTGCGCAGTCTCTCGTTGAGCTGGTGACTGCTCAAGAGGAGCTTCGCAGCATGGTGCGGGACTTGTGTCGCGATGTGCTCGAGCTACGGGACCAACTGCAGGCCAAGCTGGCGCCTGTTGCCTCTCACGCATCAGAGCCGGCCACATGCTTTGTCACAGGGTGCGTATCTGGGTGGGGCTGGTCTTTCCACGTAGGAAGAATGGACTAACAAAATACCGATTTCAGTCGTAGGGCTGGCTGAGTGGAGGTCTGGCCGTGTTCCTTGCAGGGTGGCGGCAGAGGAGGGCGCTGAGGTGCGTCGCCAGTTGTCGTATCTGATGTCCCAGGTACCTAATTTGCTGGTAGAGAACAAGGAGCTGAAGGAATTCGCCGCGCGGGCAAGTAAACAGATCGATGAACTATCTGGCGAAATGAAACAGCAGAAATGGCAACTCCAACAGCAGCAGGAGCAGTTGCAGCAGCAACAGCTCCTTGGGGTCGCACCTGTGGACATGGCGGTGGATGTTGCTGCTGGTCAGCTGAAGGCAAAGGTCTTGGAGCTTCAGGGGCAGGTGGCATTCCTCGAGGGTCGCCTGCAGGTTGCCGCGACCCGGGCAGACGTGGAGGCATTGCACTCGGCGCTGCAGGCAGTCGAGAACAAGGCGCCCTCTGTACACGCAACCACCGAGCTGGATTCCGCATTCATGGCCGTTCAAGAGGACGTAGCCAGGCTACAGGACCGGGTTGCAGCCTTGCAGGGCGGTCTCAGTGAGCGGGCAAAGGAAATTGCAGCAGCGCGCGCAGAGGTTCAGGGGTTGTCGGCGGCTGTACAGTCCCTGTCAGCAGTGCAAACCCGGGTGGCGGAGCCGTTGTCGGCAGCTGCTGAAGACTTTGTCCCCAATCTGAAAAACATCACACCTGGTTCGCCGGAGGCATCGTTGCTAGCCGCGCAGGTGGCCTCCTCAGCCAAGGCTGATCTTGAGGAGCAGTTTGGGCAGCTGCGGAACAGGCTGGAAACCGCAATGGCTGCTGCTGAAGCCGCTGAGAACGCGGCCCGGAAGAGTGCGGAGTCCGCAGCTGCAGCATCCGAAGCTGCTGGGCAAGCTGACAAGAGCGCGGGTGCAGCCTTGCAGGAGTCTATGCTCGCCATGGTAGCTGCTCTGGAGCAGGAGCAATCCGCCCTAAAAGAGCAGGTGCGTTCGGCTGCTACCATGCTTCTGCCAATCGAGGTGCTCTGGTAATCTGCAACTAGCAGTTGCTGAGTCGCGTTCCTGTCACTGCACCGAAGTTTTAGAAGGGTAGAACCTCTAGAGCAGATATGCTGTCTGGAATTGTGTGCGACCTTCGTCGTTGGTTGCGGATTGGCAAGTCGTGTGAGCAGCCCTTGCAAGCCGCCTCTCGCCTTATGGGTGTGGGCTGGATATAATGCTCCCAAGACAACATCTAGTTAATTTCTAGTCCTCATTTACATTGCCTCCGTTCCACGCTTGCAGGTTGCACAACTAGCAGCGCAGGTGTCGGAGGAGCAGGCCGCAATAGCTTCTGGTTTGCTCCAGGTTCAGGAGCAGGTTGCAGCGGCAACTGGTGCGGCAGCTGAGGCCGTCACATGCGCGCAGGCAGTACAGGAGCAACAGGCCGCTAGCGGGCGGCAAGAGCGCGAATCCGCGGAACAGCTAAGGACTATGCAGGCCGAGCTGCGCGAAAAGGTGGCCAGCGTGATGGAGCAGCTCAAGGAGCGGGTGGAACAGGGCATGCAAGAGGTGAGGATGAGGAGTTGGGAAAGGGGAAATAATGGCTCTGCCTGCGGCTGGGATGCCGACGGGTAGGAGTGCGTGAAGAAATGTTAGTGGAAGGGATTAGACGGGCACTCGTGGAGAGGTGCTTATGCCGTATCAAGGGAAGCGGTCTTCAGGTTAACAGGTTGTTGCACGTTGGGAACGCCCTGATCAGTTTCCATCCCGCGTCCGCGCACCCTGTACGCCTCTGCTCTGGCTCTACCGAACCCGGGCCCTTTCTGTACCAGATGGACACGCAGCTTTCTGTGTTTAGCGACCGGCTTAATGGCGCAGCGACCACGGCGCAACTGGAGGGTGCGCTGCAGCAGCTACGCACGGCCATTGCGGACTCATCAGAGCGCTACGAGCTGGCCGCAGCTTCCATGGAGATGCTGCGCGCGGAGCTCATCCTGGTCACAGGCCGGCAAGACGTACTGCAGGTGAGCCGTCCCTACTGCCTTGCAATCTGCATTGATGCTGGATAGTACTCAATCACGAGTAATCTTCGCGTGGCTTCGAGCCTTCCTTCAGGCACCGGTGCAACACATGTGTTGACTGCGCCATGAACGATCGTCCGATTGCGCCCTTCATGCCCTGCCGATCCCGCAGACGCGCATGGAAAATGTGGAGACCGTCCTTGGAGTCGATACCCGGAGCAGCCGTCTGGAGGCCACACTGGGCGAGGATGCTGAGCAGAAAGACGGTGATGCCGGCGAGCCTGGGGCAGTGGACGATGAAGATCTCAGATCCGGGGCGGCGGGTGTTGGTGACGAATCTGGGCTTGCCGCTGTGGGATCATCTTGCGGTCGCGGGCTGCTGGACCTGGTGGCCGAGCTGCAGTCGCGAGTCGGTGGACTGGAGGGTGCCCTGGAAGCCGCAGCTGCCAACATGGATCAGGTGTGTGTATCTGTTTAATTAAGGGAACGGTTGCGTACGTGCTTTTGAAAAGTGAGGCAGCTGGCCATCTGTATGCATCTTTGCCAACCTCAAAAGTTAATTGAAGGTAATGAGAAAAAGGATAAATTGAATAATGAAGGCCATTCAAGAGGCTTGTTGGGAAGGCTGTTAAGCAATTCCAATCCGGCAAAGGCGGGCGCCTTTAGCTGTAGTCTGTTGACTGGTAGGCTGTGTTATTTGTTGACGGATCATGCGAGTTGCTGTGCATGTGGCTCACTTGAATGAGGATAAGGTGAAAATGAGATGGCAAGAGTACATCAGAGTGCACCTGGCCATGAAAGCTAGTACCGCTTTACTTCGTGTCGCTGATTTTTCCACGTGCGCAGGGATTCGCGGCTGGGTTATGCACGATAGTAATTAAAAGGTTTTTCGGGGGCCCTTAGAAGCCAGCGTCTGTTCCGTCCGTGCTGCAATTTTCTGCGTTCACAACTTCTGCTCCCCTTTTCCCCGCAGCTACGCAACCTCGCGCACAACAACGCGGAGAGGAACCAAGAGACAATTCAGCAGGTGGGTCGGGAGTCCTTTCCAGGGCTACAGATAAATGAGTATGCTTACCTGTTGCATACGGCTGCTCAAGTCTCAACCGGCTGGTGTGTGCCCTGTTGAGCTTTTCACGTAGGACCCGTGCAATAAGGTCTGCTGCGACCTGCCAGGCCTGTAACACGTTCGTGTCTCCCCTATCCAACATCCATGCAGGCAACCGCACAATTATTCCAGGACCTCCAGTGCCTGTCAGCAGCCATGGATCAGCGCGCAGCAAGCACTTCTGCAGGCATTTTGGCCATGGAGGCCGCCTCAGACGCCATGCAGCAAAAGGTCAATGAGCAAGCGGGCATGACGAGCGAGCTTTCGGCACGCATAGAGAGCCTGCAGGTGGGCATAAGGAAGGACATATAGACTTTCAGCATGCGGCCACGGACCTGCTTATCAACTGCCTATCTAGCTGGCGCAATAAATTAATCCTTCCAGCATGTCGCTGCTTGTCCTTCTTCCCTCTTTTAAACAGCTGCGCTTGGAGAATGAGGTCATAGCTCGTATTCAGGAGACTTCTGCAACTGTATCCTCGCTTTCGGTAAGCTGATGAAGGCTAAGGGCCGTGTGGAAGCGTCGCGGCTATCATAGTACAACGTAAGCAATCCGGGATATGGAAATGTGTTTCACAAGTTTCTTTCGGGAGTTGAAAACCAGGGATGCAAATCAGACAGTACGCTTCATTGCTCAAATGAGACGATTTGTTTGGGTGTTAAATCTGATGTGTGTCTAGGCACGAGTCGCACACGACTACGTCAACCGCGAGCAGCTGGGTGCTATCTTCAAGGCGCGTGACAACATGAAGCGTGCTGTCGACGAGCTGGCATCTGTGTTCAACACCGGGCGCCTTCTGCTCACGGTAGGTGTTTCAAGAGGTATCTCGTCGGGTGCATAGAGACGTGCGGATTTCTTTCTGGGCCTGTGGCTCAAGTTTGCTTTCCTGAAACAGGTCCTTTTCCCGGAAACGGCCCCGGTTGTCTTTCACCTTCAGCAAGAATCGTCAGCAAGAAACATGGCGGTCCATTGAACTCCTGTGTTTATGCCTTTGCGCATTCGTCCTGCAGGCCTCGTCCGATGAGGAAGCGGCCAACCCGACTGACTCGGAGTCCGGCAGTGTGCCACACTCCGGCAGTGGTGCACTTTCGCCCCGGCTGGTTTCGGCCCTGGAGGACTTGGCCGGTAAGCAGGCAGAGCTAGAGCACCAGGTGCAGTTGGCTCTTTACCGCACCGAGGGCGTCGTTCGCCAGGAGCAACTGGCGAGCATGCAGCAAGCCATGCTGACCCTGGAGATGCAGTTCCGCCGGCTGGGTGTGTCTTCCTTTCCAGCCCAACAGCAAGCCCCATCCGCTGTGCAGCCTGCTTCAGCGGACTTGTCGGACCTGCGTGCACGGGTGAAGGCGCTTGAGGATGCCCTTGCACTTGGTGAAACCAGTGCTGCGCAGGGCACCACCGCTGAATTGTCCAGTGATGGCGGTGCTGGCGCGGCGCACCTGGGAAATTCCCAACCAGCACTGTCCTCAGACCGACCCGCTGACAGCCCCCTGCGTCTGTCCCTTACGGCCGAGGAGCACGGGGATAGCAGCAACCCTGTCCGCGTGTCTCTGCTGGTAGCGAACCTGGAAGCCGCTGCTGCAGCCCGCCTGGACGTCGAGAACCCCAACCCCATGGGTCCCGAATCCAGTGCCGACGATGATGGCGGTGAACCTTCCCTGGCATCCATGTTGCACGGCGTCCCCTCTGGTGCCAATGATGATTCGGGCTCGGCAGAGGGCTCTCCTGAAGCCCTCAACCGGGCTGCACTGGCTGCTGCAGCCAGGGAGGCCCAGGCGGAACTTCGCGATCTGCGCCGTGTACTGCAAGACCTAGTGCAGCAGAGCGAGGCTTTGCGTGTGGAGGTGGCGGCGGAGGGTGCAGAGCGGCTGCGCCTGGCTGAGTCGCTTGCAGAGCTGCAAGAGAGGTTGGATCTCCAGGTGAACGCCACCGCCTCCACTGCCGCCATGGTGGCTACCATGGCAACTGACCAGCCGCAGGACCGCGTGCGGCTCCAGGTGCGTGTTGGGGCGACTGAGGCGGAGGCGGACCTGGCGGCACTGGCTTCAACTGTATCCACGCTGGTGGCGCGTGTGGATGCGGCAGAAGAGGCGTTGGCGTCGGCATTCGTCGTCCGAACGCCACGCAGCCCGACGCGGCAGGCATCTACGGCGGCAGTGCTGTTGCCAGGCGCGGTAGCTGCAGAGCAGGCCGGCGCAGGAAACGGACCGGCTGATGTTGCCCAGACTGATGTTCGCAAAGAAGAAGAGTGGGATGCGGAGGATGCTTCCTCGGAGGGGGGTATGAGGCCGGCCCTGGGTCTGATGGTGCCTGTGCTGCCCCGCGAGGTAGAGCAGCAACTTGCAGCGCTGCAGACGGCTCAGCAGAAGCTTGAGTCCGCGCTTGCTGCATTGGGCGGCCGCATTGCCGGCCTTGAGGCGGTGGACGCCCTGGAGGAGGTGCGTGCTGCAGCCTCGGAGGCGGTGTTGGACTCCATACCCGGCATGGTATCGGAGCAGGTCGCGGTGGTGCGACAGGAGATAGCAGCGCTGGTAGGGCTTCAGGGAGAGCAACTATTGGAAAGGGCCAGTCTGGCCGCACGCGACGCGGCCCTGGCCGCAGCAATGCAGGCCGCCACTGAAGCTGCTGAGGTCCGTACTCCATGGGCAGCGGAGGCGGCGGCGCCGACTTCCGTCTCCGCTGAGAAAGGGGCGTATGATGAGCGCACCGCCGCGATCTGCGAAGTTGCTGCAACGACAGCGCGGGAGGTATCCAGGGCAGTTGCACGCGAGGTGGCAGAGGAGATGGTGCGTGGGGCTGCAGCAGCAGAGCTTAAGGATGTCCGCGGTGCCGTCGGGTCCCTGACCGAGCGGATGAACGATGTCGATGTGCTCCGTGATCAGGTACGCATGCCCTCGCGTCTGTTTGTGCCAATACACACACAACCCACAGACCATCTGTCTCCTTAGCACTCCAATGGCCTAATGCAGCTTTCGTGTTTGTCCTGATGCCATGTAAGACCGTCCTGGTGTCCCTGCCTTTCCCTGCATATGCAGCTCGAAGCACTCGCAGTGCAAGTCAGGGAGTCCATCACAACTTCTACAGCTGCTGCAGCTGAGGCGGATCTGGCGAATGCGCAGGTACCACCTGCTACTCCTACCGCAGCAGCCGTGGCAAGCATCTTTACGCCTGCCACCACTGCACTAGTGATTCCACCGGCGCCCACGCCGCGGGGGGCATCACCTTCTGTCGGCGGCTCCCGCCAGGCAGCAGTGCAGCCACAGCAGCTGGCCGGCAACCAGCAAGCTGCCTTCTTGGCGCGTCTGGTTGAGGTCGTCAAGCGCCAGAGCAGCCGTCTCCATGCACAGTACAGCGACGCGGAGGAGACCGGGATGGCGCTGGCGCAGGTGGTTGGGGAACTCAGAAATGCGCACAATTTTGGAGGCTCTCCTTCAGTTCTCGGTGACTGGGATGCCGCTTCTTGCAGGAGCGCGGTGCAGCTCATAGAGCAAGAAATGTTTGTTCGTATGAATACTTGGCCTCGCAGGTTAAGAACACACAAGGGATAAGGGAAACGCTGCCGTGTCATGTCACTGATAGTGTCTGCACTGGGTGCTGTGTTCCCATATGCCTCTAATTTGGTTTGGCCCTGCCCGCATCCATATGATTACATTACATCCCTGGCAGGTGGACCATACCCTCGAGGAGGCAGAGGCCCGCCTCACGGACGTCCGTGACGCTAACTCGCCAGCCTTTGCAGAGACGTTGGTCACAGTGTTGGAGCAGGTGGCAGCGCTGCGGTACATTGGCAGTCAGACGCATCCAGCGGTGCAGCAGATGGTGCTGGAGCATGAGAATCGTCTCGATAAGGTGAATACCTGTTGTGCGTTTCGGAACCAGGATGCACAGGATGCTGCGTGTTTGACCAGATGCACTGAGCAGGGACGTCTGCACATAGCTTTTGGGCGTGCTCCTGGGACGGGCAATGTAATGCCGTCTTGCCTTTGAAATCTGTTGCAACCTTGCAGATCGCAGAAGAGCTCAAGGCTATTAGCGGCGGCTCTCCAACGGCCGCCGACACCCGTTCCACGGCACCCCATCCCGCGGTGGTGGAGGAGATTGGCGTACTGTCCCTGCAGGTTGCCCGAATGGAGGCAGACCTGGCGCGTGTCACCGGCCAGCAGGCCGCTTTGGACCGGGCAGTCAAAGACATGCTAACTGCTGTTGGGAGCGTCCGTTTCGCCTCCTCTTCAGCACCGGGATCATCAGCTGCTACGGAAGAGCCCACGGGCAGCCGCAGGCACAGCACCCATGAAGGCGAGGCGGCGGAAGGCATAGTGCCGGAGTCACTGGAAGGCGGCGGCGAGGAGGAGGTGCCAGCGGGACAGCCTGATGGTCTAGATATGGCGAGTCTTGCGGCCCACGTGCGGCTGCTGGAGGGCACGCTGGAAGCGCAGCTTGGCAGCCTACGGCAGGAGCTAATGGCGGAGATCCGTGTGCGTGCTGGAAGCGGCGGTGGTGCCGCCACCGTAGCCACGGCCGCCACGGCTGCGGAGCTGGGAGAGCTTGAGAAGACTGTGTCCAAGTTGCACTCCGCAGTAACGGCCATCAGGAACCGGCTGCTGGCAATGCAGGAGTATGTGGACAGCACCCAGGCAGGTGGTGTGGCTTTGGATCAGTGGCATATTCGGTTGACGCTTCGTATTCCAATGGGACCACCCGAAAATCGTGTGCGATTTGTGGATTAATGGATTGCCTGATCGTGCATACGTTCGTGACGTCAGAGGCCAAGACCATTCCCACATCTTGGGCTAGCACCATCCTGGTAACTCCCTACCCAGTTACGGTATCGCACTACGGCCGTCTTAGTTCCTCTTTGATTTGTCGTCCATGGCTTATATTAGAAACCCACTTGGGCATATCCCACTCGCCAGTCTTAAAGCCCTACCTTGGGCAGTCTAGCATTTTGCGGCGCTGTGGTCGTGTGCTACCATGTGGAATTCCTGATGCAATTTGCTCGGCGTGGTTGCTTTTGCAGGGTATGATCAAGGACATGCACATCGCACTGGGGGGTTTGGTAAGGCGAGTGGACACCCTGGAGGCTGCATCCGGCCCTGGCAACCGCAGTGCCCGTGTCAGCGGATGCGGCTCTGCCAGCGGCCTCAGCGCCGACTCGGGCAGCGTTCGGGAGCTGCAGGTAGGAGAGCGCGCGCGTCGTTATGGCACACAGTAGCGCAGGGGCCGCCGTGTAGTCGCGCCACTCTTTCACTTCGGGAATTAGGTCGCGGGTGCTTCGCTTGCATGGGCCTTACCGCATCCCGCTCGTTGTCTTTTACCAGATTATGGTTTTCACGGTGGTGAGGCAGTGCCCACGTCTAAAGCACCTATCCCCGTTCGCTTCCCGACTGCACTCTGCAGTCCGACCTCAACAAGTTTGAGCGGCGGCTGCTGACGTTGGAATCCAGCTCGCTTGAGGCAGCCCACGCGTTGGCCGACCTCAAGGGCCTGGGCCCACGCGTCACGGAGGCTGAGTCCCGGCTGCTGGACGCCTGTTCCAAGGTGGCGATGGGATTCGGCGGCAGCGCCAGCAGCACGGTCCCCGTCATCCCCGCACTGGGCCCGGGCATGTCGCTTCCTGCACTGTCGGGTTCAGTGCGGGCTTTGGAACGGCGATTGGGAGGACGTTTGGAGGCGGCGTGCTCCGCACTCGACACTCTGGCTGGTGCTCTGTCAGCAGCGGGGAGGATTCAGGCAGAGTCCACGGCCAACCCGTTCAAGGGTGGGTGGGTGAATGAGTTCCTTTCGGTTGCACGGTACCCATGAGTCTACTTGCTTTTTAACGTCCGCGTGGGTAACGTCCGCACATGATTTCCCATGTGTACAAGGTGCGATGTGTCGCAGCCATGATGCCGCTTACGCTTGTTTTTTTTCCGTCACAGACTATGCCTGGATGCTTGCCGATGTGCTGGCCTGCCTGGAACGCGTTAGCCTGGAACGCCACTTAATTCTGTTTGCTGCATCCAATCCCCCGTTTCCTGCTGTGCAGCCATCAGCGCGGCCGTCAACAACCCAGTCATAGTGGCCATGGAGAAGAAACTAGAGACGGTTCGTGCAGAGTTGCTCGTGGCGGCCACGTCCATGTCGGAGGACATGCGCCGAGATCAACAGCAGTTCCAGTTGGAGAGCAGACTGGCGTCTGCAGACCCCAGTGTCAGCGGGGGCGGCGTGTACACGTCCGGAGGCGGTGGGACCCTGTCCTTCCGCACCTGAACTGCGACCGTGCATGTGTTGGACAAAATCATAGTTGACCCCATCCGGAAGCAAGCACCGGCAAGTACCGGCGAGGCCACTGGAAAAAACATGTTGCTTTATCATATGCGAGCCCTTCCGTCCGTGTCTGTTTGTGTTTTACCTGCATTGTAGTTGATTTTCTGTCGGGCTTTAAGGTATGCGGTTTCGAGTGCGCAACGGCATAGCTACATATATGCGGCCGCTCTGCTTTTGTAAGCAAAAAGCCGACGACAGTGGCGTGATAAACGCTTGCCATTGGCTCGCAGTGATCGCTTTCGGTAACGATATTCGGATATGTCTTGACGACTGCCCCAGTGTCCTGGGGAGATGACCGTGCTATCCATTGTTTACTATGTCTCAGCTTGTCCAGGACATCTATGGTACTGTGGTTACGAGTGTTCGGGCGCAGGTCAAGCCTTGGTCAAGCTCATCTTGAGGGGCGGGTCAAGCAGGGGCTAAGTGTCTAGTGTATACAGGCATGACTTCCATGTGCAGTTTATGGAAGTGCTTGCCCTGCTTTCACGGTTTTATGCGTGGGCATCTACGGCTTGCTTTATAATCAATGAGCTTCCAGGTTGCCGACGTGGGGCGACATTTCGTATGCGGTTGTTGCTTATTATCAGTGCCCTACCACCGATTGAGGTTGCCTGTAACATGGTCTTTATTAAGGTGTGGCTGAAGAAGTCTTGGGTAGCGTCACCGTTCGGCTGTTGCAAGCTGTGCCTTCGCTTGGCCCTGATGCGATGTCAAGCTTGACCCTTTAATAAGCGATATCAGCTACCCTGCCTGACGGCTCAAAGCGGCTGCCTGGCCAACCTGCAGTTGGCTCTTGAAGCCGGAGGTTATCTGCTGCAGGAAAAGATAGTCGTAAGCGCAGACGCCAACGGTCGCATGGACGTTTGTCGCTGTCTTGTGGATTAACTGATTAGTCTCTTTGGGAGCAAGACTCTAAACAACAGCTCTCGCGTCTCAATATGTCCTACACACTCAGACTCAGAAATGGTACCTGTAGTCGTATAGTCGAACCTTTCCCGTCCGTATTGTGTAACCTGTCGCCTCATCACCACTTGCTCACAAATCCCTAAAACCGCCATCCGCAACCATATCATACATATTGCCGTGCCACTCTTAAATGTTATACTCTTCTACACCTCGACCCGGTAGGCAAAGCGTGGCCGTGCTGCTGGCCATGCCACTGGCGCCGCCCCCGATGTACCACTCCTCTTCATGAGCCAGGGCGCCACTGGCGCCGAGCTCCCTGTCATGACCCTCATAAGGGGAGCCACTTGCCGCATATGGAAGGAGGTGGATGGGTGCTGCCGGGACTCCCGAAGGACCACCTGTTTGTATAAGTTGGGATACACAGGTAGGGGTGTGGTGAGGACGGAAGAAAGGAGGGAGGAAGCTGTGGCATGTGCAGAGATTTGCTACTCCTCAGCAACAGTTCAATACAAACCCCCATTTCCTTACCAAACCCATTAGCTCGCGACGACTTTAATATGGACAGTACCTCATAGGCCGCTGGGTGTCCCTCTTCCGGTTTCTATGCATCTTCCACCTGATCACAGCTGCTGTATACCCACTGTCCCGCAGTGATCTGTTTCCGTCCACCTCGCGGTTTCGCCCTCCCTTCCCTCCCTTAACGCCCGGCCCCTGACCGTCCATCAAGTCATCAAACCACTCACCCTCAGGTGGCTCGTGCGCGTGTACATGCGGCCACTTCTGCCCCTCCCCATTCGCTGCATGGCCTTCTCCACCCGGCCCCGAGTCGCGTGGATAATGCCTTTTCCCAGAAGGGGGGCATCATATGCAGGCAGATGCAGAAAGGCGAGAAGAGGTTAAGCTGGGTTGCTCGGGAAAGATAGTGGCTATGATGGTTGGCTACCGAAGCACGCGGACTTGGAACCTACCTGGGCCCTTGCAGAAAAAACATGGCGCACCCATTTGCCATTTGACTTCACAATAAAATCCCATTCTATGCTTGGTGCCTGTAAAAATACCGCATTGCTGTGGGCTTGGGCAAAAGCAGGCTTCAGTCTTTTGTCAGAGCTTCCCTTTCCCTTGTCATCCGCGGCCCCCGCCCCCTCATGGCACATGCAGCGAGATGGACGACTGGGTAACCGCGGCAATGCACTGAGGTAGTCTCCTCGAAAACCGGGAGCACATGCCGCTACCGGGTCTGCTGCCGCGCGCCCCCGGACACCAAGGGTCCCAACTTGCTTCACTCACTCCTCATGTGTAGTACCGATATGCCTATCAGGACGCCACTCACCCACTACAAGTCGCTCGCCGTTGAGCCCCACTGCCTGAGTGGCGTCCTGATAGGCAGCCTCCAGAGTCTGCAATGGCGGATTGGAAAGGGAACAGCAGCCGGTGGATTAAGAGAGCTAAAAACGCAGGTCGCAACAATGGAAGGGAGGGTGAGTGAGTGAGCAGGGAGCACAGCAGGGAACCAGCATTCGCATTACAACACGGAGGATTAGACGACCGCCATACACGCCGCTCCGGTGTTGTGTAACCACCGGGTGATCCAGGGACTTCACAAACCCAGTGGAAATGGCTAACGGCGACCTGCCCCTAGACCCCCTCTGGACCAGGTGGTCGTTGAGATCGTCTAAGGCGATCCGGCGGTCACTACCTGACTTCCAAAAACCCAGCCCGAGCCCAGTGTACGGCACCCTCCTACCCGTGATTACCTGCAACACGTATCTGGCGGCCTTGTGGGGCACCATCTTACATTGCGCTACGGCATCCTCGTACGACAACCCCCGAACCTAGCGGTACGTTTCCGGAGGACGACATCAAGAGGCGGTGAGGTCTTTACGGAAGTAAGTACGGTAACACTGAGAGAACACTGACGTCACCGGAGTGAGGGGAGGAAAGATAGTCGTAAGCGCAGACGCCACCGGTCGCATGGACGCTTGTCGCTGTCTTGTGGATGAACTGATTAGTCTCTTTGGGACATAGACTCTGAACAACAGCTCTCGCGTCTCAATATGTCCTACACACTCAGACTCAGGAATGGCACCGGTAGTCGTACAGTCGACCTTTCCCGCCCGCATTATGTAACCTGTCGCCTCATCACCACCTGCTCATGAACCCCTAAAAAACCGCCGTCCGTGCCATTCCAAATGTTATTCTCTTCTACACCTCGACCCCAGGAGTTAGATGCACCCTAGGGATCAGGTATCACCAGGTAACGTCGAGCCCCTAAACCCCTAAAGGGGCCCCACACCCGCCGCAACCGCACAAGCTGAGCTACGAAGGAAACCTCAACCTCACGCCGCCCAACCCCACAGCCCCCATAGGGCCGCCCATGCGCTCTCACCAGCCGAATAATGCGGTTCATCTTCTTTACGCTCTGCGTTATGTTGTTCATGTATGCCGTACCCGCATCATGGTACTGTTCCCGGGCCCTTTCGTACCGTCGTTCCTCGCGCTCATCATCCTCGTCGTACCTGTGTCGTAGGGCGGGTATATATTGGCGTGATTTCAAGTTGCACTCCTGACAACAACAGATGAAATAACGTACCGTAAAGCGAGCAAGGACCTCCCATTGCCCATTCACATTATGGCAGTAAATGCAGAACATATGATTACAACCGCTGAGATGGTCCCCCGGACCGCTCGTCCTAATGTTCCCTTGAGCCTGTACAACAACCTAATACAACAACACCCTTTATCCTCCGTGGGGTCGCTTGCACCCCCATCTCGCATCCATAAATGTGTTCGCTGTGCTGTGGTGTTACCAGGTACTCGCCGCCAGTCAGGCCAGCAGCCGGCACCCATACATATCCGCCTTTGCAATGTATCGCATTTAACCGAAAATGCACGATTACTTTGCGGCTCCCCCATCATATGGAATGGCATAAAGCGCACTCTCCTGCTAACTCATTAAGTTTATCCACATCCATGATGAGACACTACTCCAAAGTGCGGCTTCTAAGGTCCTGGGATCGATTCCTGGGTAGACCCCCGACATTGTCGGGAGCGTGAAATTATGGCTGGCTGCTGATATGTGGAGTTGAGATCACAATTGATGGACCGAGATTTGCACGCTGGATTGATGGTGATTGCTGAACCCTCTGTCTCTACGGATGTTCGGGTGACTGGATGAGGAGGGATCCTAGAAGGCGGGATCATCCGCCTTGGACTTGCAGTTCGTATGGCGTAGTACAGTGTGGTAATGGTGGATGGTGCTGTATGGTGCGATAAATCGTAGAACTGGCAATGTGTTCAATTGGCCCAGAAGCCTCCCCCTCTGTAACAACAACAACATCCATCCCACCATCCGACCTACCACATCCAATTGCGCTTCTGCCGCCACCTCCCGCTGGGAGCCTGACCCTTCCCCCCACCGGCCGCAGATGGCAGCTGAGACCCTGATACGGCAGACAATGCGGCCTGAAGCGGATTCTGTACAGGCTCTGAGCTGCTGCTGCTGCTGCTACTCGTTCCAGTCCCTGACGGGGTGGAGCCCGATGGCTTCCGCTGAGACCCGCCCTCGTCTGCACCGCTGTCGCCGGCGGCTGACGCGCCAACGTGCAGGCCTCGAAGACCTATCGAATGGGGGGACCCCTGTGTTGTCGTTGCGGTGGTGAGGTGCCAGCTGAGGTAGGGCTGTGGTTTGGAAGCAAATCCCAAGCTGGAGCGGAAGGAGAGGACCTGGGAGGCGGTCAAGAGTCCGGGGGAAAGGGGTGATATGAGCCATGGGTGGGGTGGGCGGGGTGAGGTAGGAAGGAAAAAGACAAGAAACACAGGACGCGCGACCGGGAAGGCTGGGAGAGCCGGTAGGGCGACACCGAGCCATGTGTGAGTACATAGTACGAGCAAATATACCGCGAGCGGCAGGGCGGTTCACGGAGTAAGCAACTTTGGGTACGGGTCTGCTGGAAGAGGTGCAAGGCCTTCGTAAATTTAGGATTGGGGTCGGGTATGAGCGTGGTGAGAGCGCGACTCACCATACGAGCTCTGGCCGTCAAGACATCATTTATTCGCTCTGTGCTTGGAGTTGTTCGCAATCCACAAGAGTACTGAGCTTCCTGATCAGGATTGCAACTTGAGCTGGGGGCGCTATCCGCCGATGTTGCGGTAATAGTACCTTGACCCTTGCGGCGGCATGCCCACCAAAGTGCACACCACTCGGTAGAAGCCTCGCCTCTAAGCGTTGCAGCTTCGGACGACAGCGCCCTTGAGGCCGCCAAGACGAGATGTGCATGGCTCTTTACCATAGTATCAGAATAAGTGACAAACGCTTATGCGTAAGGCAACTGTCTGGCACTGCAAAATCTGTCGAGCAGCAGTCTTCTGTGAGATGTCTCACCGGTGTCGACACAGGCATTATCCTCAGCTTTGAATAGGAAAATATGTAGGCGATTTACCTGTGCATTGATTTTTCTATGTACACGATTCACCAGATTTACAAAATCGTTTTCGTGCGTACTGTGATAGTTTGTTATGCCTGCTCTGGTTACTTCAGCGGCAGGGAACATGTTATGGCACTATCACATAAAGCTACATCGCAATATTGCTGTTTGCCACCATGTTTATCATTCCTACTGCAAGCCTGTTCATAACTTCTGAAGCTGTCTGAAGCTTTTCCTCTTAACCCTCTGCCTGAGATTTTGCATTTATTAGCAGGCCGATTGGGCCTTGCAAGGTTAGGCCGCTGTAATGTCATTAGCGGCAGCCAGGATTGCCCCGGATGGCACCGCGGGCGCGGGCCCAGTAACCCTGAAGGCCAGCGATCACGCACCATCCCCGCTGGATCTCCCTGAAGATGTGCAGTTCCAGCTTGGGCAGTTTAAGCACCTGCTGGGAGAGCTGCAGAAGGCTTTGCAGGCGGCGGCGGCACAGGCGCCGAGTCCGGCAGACATAGCAGCCATTCCGGAACCCCTGGATCGGGCGCGGCTCTGCATGTGCATCGCCAAGGCGGTCAACTCGCTTCACCACGTATATCTCAGGTGGGACTGCAGGGCAGACGTCGTACCGGAGGAAAGCACTGGAGAGTGGGCGGGGCCCCTGGTATCCGCGGTTAATCGTGAATATTATTCTTGTCAAAAGGGGCAGACACGATACCCCAAACCGTGTAGCGTTAGACCCTTGCGCACTCTGTCGCACATCTGCAGGGCCTACGGACGGGACCCCTTCGCGCCCGCCACTGCCGGCGGTGTTGCGGTGGGCCGCCAGGAGCTCGACCGGATACGGCAGTACGACAAGAAGCTAGCGCGTGCAGTACACGACGCCGACTTGCGTGCATCCCGACCAGTCCTGAGCTTGGATGTGGCGGCTGCATCGCGGTTCATCGACGCGGCCATTCCGGACCTGTCTGAGCAGCAGCGGAGGGACCTGAAGCGGGCGGCGCAGGTAGGGGTGGTGCAGCAGCTGTTGGAAGGAGAAGCCGTGTTAAGGAGGTGTTTGCCCTCCCTCCTACAACAAGCCTTGCAGCCGTGTGGAAACAGTTGCGCAACAGACAACTCCATGCTGGTGTTCGCGTTGGCTGATGCCATTTTTGCGGCTGATAGTTCGCTTTGTTGCCTCTTGGTGTAGGCTGCTGAGGCCAAGCGAGGCGGCCCGGATCACAGAAAGGGCAAGAAGCCCCGGCCTCAGGAGGCCTTAGTCCAGGATCTGGACCAGGAGCGGATAGCCGCACTCCAGCAGCGGCAGCAGGAGGATGGAGACGAGGGACAGGGACAGGATTTGGTAGCAGAGGGCGCAGAGGAGCAGGCGGAGGCGAAGGACGCGGCTGGTAAGGGACCCAAACCGGGTGGGCAGCGCAGCTGTGTCAGGGTTGGCGACGGAGGCAGAGGAGGAGGCAGCACCAGGTCAGGGGCGGGCGCGGCTTCATCTGCTGGGCTGCGTGGCGCCCAGGCGGCTGCGGAGCGGTTCCTCGCTGCACTGGCCGCCGGCAGCGGAGCACCCGGGGGGGTATTGAAATGAGGGTCGGCAGGTCAGCGGCCGGGCCTGTGCTGTCTTGCGGGAGATGGTATGACAGGTGCACATACGCCGTGCTGCTTCACGCCAACGTGGCATGGTGAAAGATAATGAGGGGTATGCAGTTGTAATAGGCAAATAGCTTCTCTTAACAGTATGGTCCAATCAACAGTATTATCCAGTAACTTTATTATTACTATTATTATCAGTATTCGTCGCGTGGTCACTCGGCTTTGCTGCCTCGCCACGTTTTCGTTTTCCTACAGCTTTGGGCTGCAGTATGCGTAGCAGGGTCTGTATCGCATGCCCTTTGTCTGCAATTTAACTGCGAGACGTGAATCTTCCTTTTAAGTAACCCATGCAGCTGCTATCTTTTTGTAATATGCGACATGCGCACGCCCATGCTCTGCATTTCGGTAGGAATGCACGACGAGTTGCATACCTTAGGCGGTATACCGTACATTCTTTCGTCTTCTCATGCTTTAGGACCTCATCGTTCTAGCACCTGCAGGTAAAGCTCGCTCTAGCAACGGCAGCCGTTCACGAATGACCGGCCCTATTTACCTACAAAATTACGCTAACAGATTTTCAAAATACTTCACCATCAAGGAAATCGTCTCCTGCTAGCAGAAGGCAAATAGGGCCGGTCATTCGCCAACAGTACCGGCTCGCGAAGTTTATCTTTTACTCGCGCGTTCAACGACAAAGCCAGCTAGCTAAAGATATCAACTGTACAGCTATACAAGTTTCGACCATCGCTATATATGGTAGGTTTCCAGACGAGACGCATATACGACGCGAACGGCCAAACTGGATCTGTACGGCTCATATGTCCTGATCAGTGGGGCCAACCGTGTTAAAGTCCACTAATCGGAGATAATTTGGCACTGGAACTGGCACACGCAATTCGCCAAGTATTATCGCGGCATCTCCGCAGCGCAGGATAAGAGCTCATCAGCTCGTTTCGGCGGCACCCGCAGTTGCGCGACCAGAAATTAGCTCTCTGCTGGGTATCTGGGATATCTTATGCGTACTATGTATGGAAAGTACAATGCAGTAAATAACTGCGTAGCGGTGTGCTTGGGAAACTGTAAGAAGTTCTGGAAAAAAACAGTGATGGCTTGAAATGTGTGGTTGTAGCCGCAATGGCAATAGCAATAAATAGCGAGTACAAACCAGGGGAAACCTCAAGCTGCTGCCATACATAGACAGATGGCAAGTGTCCCACCAACTTCCGGGACCGAAAGAAGCCTGAAGAAGCCACAGCCTCGTTTGGCGGCGTTGGCTTTCCTTTAGAAGGTGCCTCTGCATGGGCTCGGTACACAGCAGTTGAATTCGCAGTTGCATTCGCACGCCCTCCTCCCACGCTCTTGGTAAATTGTGAACGAAGGATTGTCAACCCTCACAGTCTTATGCGAAGCCCCATTCCCCATCTCCCCCATAACGTGTCTTGCATGCTCTTTCGTAGCTAGGGCATTCCATTGGCGCCCTGTTGCATGCCATGACATCTTTCCTGAGGATAGCTGAGGTTACAGGTTGGTTCGTTCCCATTTTGACTCCGCCAGAAGCGTCGCGCCCCCGGCACCACCTAAGGCTGCCTGATCTATGTCTTACGTGCTCTGCATTCCAGTTGTGATGAATTTTAATTTCTCGGCCATGGGCACCGCTGCCGGTCCAACTGAAACCGGTTTTCTGGCACACCGGCATGAGCTGCCTGCCTGGATTAAAGTTTTGTGCATCGCCTAACGGTTGGATAATCATATTATATATGAAAACTTACTTGCCTAGTCCCTTTATTGTTGCATGGGCATATTTCGGACCCTCTGGAACAAGGTGGACCTAAGTTCCTGATTTTGAGTCTGCCATGGCTGCAACAACACAGTAGCTATGATGCAGTCTGCTACATAGATTATGATCGAAATCGTAGACGGCCGCTTGGTGGTTTGTCGGCCACTGCGTAATCCATTTACACGTTCAAAATTTCGGCGTACAGCTTTGCGAGATACTCGTCTTGGAAAACATGGATCAACAAACGCTTAAAGGGCCTTTAGGCGAGGAACCGGTGTTACTGTTCTTCCGCGAGCACACTGATGTGCCCTTTTCATTCGTCTGCCCGCTGAGCTATCAGCTCTTAAGTGACCCAGTGCAAGACCCCGACGCTGAGGATGACGAATCCCCTATGGAGCGTGAGCCATTCGAGACGTACCAGCAGCAATACGGTGTGCGCCCAGGCACAGGTAAAGGCACGAGTCGGCGTCGTTTGCCTTTACGCTGCACCTTTTTCCCCTGCCCATACATGCCCGAGACATTCGACGGCCTATGCCGCCCTTGTAGCCCTTTGACACCTCAAAATATCTCCCACGATTCGCAAGCACGATGGAATGGTAGAGACACGGCTTTCCTAGATGGATAATAGGCCAGGATTGTGTGCGCCCCGGGACCGCCTGTTCACCTGCCTATGACACGGGAGCCGAACCTTCCTTCTTAACCCCAACACACTCCAGGGGAGCTGAAATTGCTCTCCCGAAGTCCATATAGGCCTTCCGGTGTCCTTTGTTGTCATCTCGAATGCCTTGGCTTCATATCTTCCATCATCATGTTCCCTCATAAAGCCAGTTGGTCCTGTTTGTAGGAGATTCTTCCGTCGAGTGATTTTACGTATATTGTGATCATCCCCGGTTTCGATTAGGGACCACCCTGCCTACCTGCCCGCGCTCCTGTACATGTGTTTGATGCCCATAACTTTGTCCCTTACCCTTCAATTAACTTGCCGCCGTCTATCCCACACTTCCTCCAGGCCTCCCACCCATGGCAGAGCTCGAAACTCTGTCGACAGTACAAGGCGCTATCCTTGACTGGGTCGCAAAAAATTCCAAAACCCCGGGCCAAAACGCATCCAACAGCTTATCTCCTCACCCTCGTCCTCGTCATCACCACCAGCCCCCGGCGAAGCGCGCACGGTTGAGTGAGGTGCATGCGGCAGCGGCGCTGCAGCCGTTACCCTCATGGCTGGCCAACGCCGTACGGCATTGCGGAGCCGTACCGGGCGACGACGACGGCGGCGAGGGCCGGCCGTTGCTCAGCATCACCGTTGGCATCCCCCGCACCTTCTTCTGCCCCTTGAGCCGCGTAATAATGCGGGATCCGGCATATAATCGCTACGACGTGTATCCCACCCTGGAGCGGTCCGCGCTGGTGGCATACGTGGAGCGTTTCGGCAAGCACCCTTGGTCGGGTAAGAGGTTCTTTGCTGAAATCAGGTTGAATCGGGTTCGACCCTGCTGTTCATTGCAGCAGTCGTAAACTCATCGACCAGTCGAGCTTGAAGGTCCACACCATCAGCCAGCCGTACCAGTAGTAGGTTGAACGAGCAAAATTTTTTTGAAGTGCCGTTTCGTGAACGGAAATACGGAACGCCTGGTGAACGGAAATATGGAAATAGAGATTCGAAGCGAGGGGGTCGATAGGTTTCAGGATATGTGTCAGCTCCAGACCTTGTTACTTGCTTCTTTCCTTCGATTGTTTCTTGCATGTGATCCCCCCTCACCCTTACAGCATGGCGGAGCTAAGCTTTGCACTCCAATCCCTGTCCACGTTCCCGCGCTCCCTGGGGTGCGGCGCCACCACAGTTCCACTCCCCGCGATGCCAAGCCCTCGCCTTTTCCCCTTTTTTTCCCCTTTCCAATGGGTCTCATTTCCCGCTCTCGCTCCCCTCTCCCAGGTAAACCCATGCGGCTGGCTGATATTAAATCCGATGTGAGCATGCGGAACCACATCACCAGCTGGCTTGAAGAACATAACCAAAGGGGGAAGCGGCCTTACACCCATGCGGCTGCTGCTGCAGCAGCTGTCAACACTGACGACGCAGCAGCTGCTATTGCCGTAGCTGTTGTTCCTCCAGTCGCCGTTGTTGCTGCTGCTAATGCCGGCGGTGGCGGCAGCGGCGGTGGCTACAGTAGATTTGCTCCTGGCCTTGCAAATCAGGAACCCGGGGCGCTCCAGGAGCTTCAGTCACCACCGCCGGTACCATTCTCCGCTCCTCCGTTTTCCAACATGGCTGCAGCCACGGCATTCGGTACCAGTGGCCGTGGCAGTAGTGGCGGCCGGCCGGCGGCTGCACCGTCGGGTATGAGGCAACCGACTGCCCGGTGGGTACTTGCCACCGCGGCCGCCACTGCTGCACCATCATCAGCACTTCCCAGGTCGGGTGGTGGCAGCGGTGATGGTGGTGGGGGTGCTCGTCGAGCAGTGGAGGGACGGGCAGTGGCAGCAGCCACGGGGACGGAGTCGGGGGCATGTGGGACTCCACCGCTGAGGTCTGGCAGCAATCCCACGTTGTCGGATCCAGGGAGGGTGCAGCAGCAGCCCGGTGGAGGCAGAGGCAGCACCACAACACCACTAAGTTTGCAGGCTGGCAATTGCCATGTGCAACAACAGCAACGGCAGCAGGCATCGCAGATGTCATCTTTGGTTGCCGTATCGACTGCTGCAGCTGCAATCGCTACAGCAGCAGCACACGCACCTCCAGAACAACTGTCTTCAGCCCCGGAGCTGCAGCTGCAGCCACCGGCGCCGCAGCTTCCAATACTGCAGCCTGCAGTGGCGGTTGCAGCCGCAGGGGCGATTACTCCCGGCATCCAGCACGTTGTGCATCGTCATCAGCATAAGCAGCCGGCAGCAACAGGCTTGGTAGCAGGCAGGGCTGCGGTAGTTGCAGGTGGGAGCCCAATCCGCAACGGTGGTGGAGGTAGTGGTGCTGTAGGTGCTGTAGGTGCTGCAGGGATGCCTGAGGTGGCGGCCGGTTCACAGGGGGATGGATGGGGCCCCGAGCCATCTGAAGCAGTGAATGAAGAGGACAAAGGCAGCCCAGCCCCGGGGCTGATCGCAGTCAAGATAGAATTGGGTCCGGCAGAAGATCATATGGTGATGCAGCACCCGCCGGGGTTCATCTGGACCCAGGGGCCAGCTGCAGCCATGATCCCCGCAGCGGGAGCGGCAATAGTGGTTGACTGCGGTGGTGGTGGTGGAGGTGGTATTGGCGGGTTTGCAGGTGCCGGAGGAGGGCGGAGCTCAGACCTCGTGGACTTGACGATGGGGACCTCGAGCACCAGTAGCAGCAGCGGTGGCCGCACCAGTAGCAGTGGCGGCGACATACCTTCGAGCCATGAGGGTCGTACGGAAACAGCCGCAGCTACAGCTACTTCCGAGGGAGAAGTGGATAGAGGAGAACATCAGCAGGGACAGCGCTCTGGGGCAGCTGCGTTGGCGTCAGCGGCAGATGGCAGCGGCAGCGGCACTTCCTTGGTGCTGGATGGCGGCCTGTCTCACCCTGGAAGAGGTATGGCCCGTGCATTAACGAGCCCGTTGGGGTTGGTTCCTCTGGCGGGGACGACAGCGGGGGCTGCAGGGGAACCGAGCGCCATACGGCACACATTGGTGGCACCAGCGGTGGAGGAGGACGAGGCTGCAGAAGTGGTGGACGCAGCAGCTGCTGCAGCCGAGCCTGCAGAGGTGACGTCTGTTCAGCTCCGTGCGGCCGCCGAGGCGGCAGTGGCTCAATTCGGTGCTGGCTGGTATCCCCAGGACAGTGCGGAGGCTGAAGGACCGGACCCCGCAGCGGGCGCAGATATGGAGCTGGATGAGGGCGGGGTGGCGGGTGGCTATGGAGGGGCAGAGGAGGGTGGAGAGGTGTGTGAGGGGGTAAGTAGGGGAAAGAGGAGGAGAAATGCTGAAGGGGAGGAAACATGCTGCGTGCAATAGCAGATTGCCCTGTGTTTCACTGCTGGACTGCACCACTACTCCACAGTGACAAGATCGCGCTACCTGGAACATCATGGGGTTGACATGTTCATGGGTGAACATTGGCTTGGGCCATGTGTGTGTACATATATGTATAGATATACATAGGTTAGGCACTACTGGTAATGCGCGACCATTGCCATCGGGAGATCCCGGGATCGAGACCTGTCAGGGTCGAAAATCCTTCCGATGGTGGAAGGTATTGCGCCCTTAGTTGATGGACGGTGGTGGCCTGGGATAAAGTTAACCTGCGAGCCGACCAAAAATCGAGTTGGGCCGCTGTCGACTGGTGGCGGATGCGGGATTTGAGCGATCCACTGAGGAATTGTCTAGGGTGACTGGATGAGGGTGCCCCGAAATACCGGGAAAGGCAGGGTTTCACAAGGTACCTGCCACGGGTGAAGATATACCCCCCTGTTTTACACATCATATGTATGTACACATGTGTGTGTACTTCATGGTACATGTTTGCAGGCTGGCACTACCCCAGGGCCGGCCAGTACGGATGCTGGCCGTAGGAGATACCGCTTCTTTTCCCCTGAGGTGCGAACACAACTAGCTACAGAGAGGTCCTTAATGGGGGATTGGGGACACAATTGGGCCACCTGTTGACCCTGATGTGTTTTGTGCCGTGACCGCGTGTGACCACGTCAAGTCCCGGACTTTACCCCTGGTACCGCTACTGCTACTGTCATCGCTGTTCGGCGCACGCATACTGCTGCTATATCGTATTCTCGTACACATCCTGCTGGTGCTGCTCCTCTAGCTCCTGTTGCGCGTTCCATTGCTGCTGTTTCCGCTCATATCTACCTGCCACCATCACCACCACTAACATCATCATCACCATTATGCATGGTCATCATGTGGTTGCGTCATTATGCTGCCTCTCGCCCTTCACGCATACAGGAGCTGGAGGCACTGGTGTCCGGCGTGGAGGAGTACGGTGAAAACAACTGGGCGGCCGTGAAGGCCTCCAGACCCCAGCTGGTCAGGAGGACGGAGGTGAGTGAAGTGAGGTGGTTTGAAAATGAGGGGGGGAACAGGGTGAACACCGGCGCACCGCGTAGGGGGGTTGGAGAGGGGGAGGGGAATTGAGGACACGCGAGTCCAGGGGAACGGGCAACAGGGACCTTAACACGGCGGAGCGCGTAGGGCTTGGGGATGGGGATGGGGAAGAAGGGGACGACAGGCACGCTAGAGGGGCGCACGTATATACACAGTGCAGCCGCCCTCCGGTAAAGCTGTGCTCGCGTGACGTCCCTAGCTCTTCCTTTTCGCGGCTCAGTTCATTGGATTACAGTACAGCTTCAGGACGATATTCCGAGCAGTGCGTTCCCCGAAGTGTGTATGCGGAGAAATAGCTAGGTAAGGGCCGGACGTTATGATATGTCCGGCCGGGCGAGCATTACATGTATAGTAGACTTTATAACTTGGTTGTCTTGATTACTGCCAGCCGCGGCTCTGGTCGCCACTCGCACCACGCCGCTGTTGCTGCGGTTGTTGCGGTTGCAGCTGTTCTTGCTGTTGGCTAATGTCGGTGCGAAAGTTGCTTCCTATGCACCCCTATAAGCGATCATATAGCGGTAACGGTGCCCAGGTGTTACCCCTGCCCCTCCTCCGCGTCCTCCTCCTGCCCCTTCTCTTACGTCGGCCGCTCTGACCACCCACAGGGCGGCATCATGCAGAAATGGAGGGCGCTTGTCAAGTACGCCGAGCAGGGGTGGACCACCGGACGTTCACTGCCGCCATTGGACCTGCAGGCCAGGATTAACGCTCTGCAGTGCCTGGCACCTCCGCCACCACCAGCTCTACCTCCGCTACCAGCACCTCCCCCGCCACCACCACCGGCACCAATCGCCGCGTGCGTTCCCCAGGTTCCGGGCTCGGCCGTTGTCCCGGTCCCGCTGAACCAGCAGGTGCAACACAACCCGGTTCCCGTGCCTGGGTGCAACACAGGCGGCGGCGGTGCCGGTAGAGGGGCGGAGGAGGAACTCGAAGGCATGGCAGGGCAATCCAATGTATGTACGATGGGTACGGGATGAGCCGTACATGGCTTCAGGGAGCGGGAGCGGAAAATGAAGATGGTCACCGGGGACGGTGTGGATGAAAAGAGAGGGGGAAATGATGGGCCGGGGCAGGGGTGGGTTTTTCGGAATGAGACCTCGGGACTGTGTGTCCGTCGTGAGGTCTTGGTGGGTCGATGGGTTCCTGTGTAGGGGGAAGGTGAGTGAGCCTACGTCCAACGTGTTGTGTTTTAGGGGTAGGGTGGGTAAGGAGGTATCACCCCTGCCCTGGTGCCTGGGCGGTCCCTTTAAGGCCCCCCAGCTGCCTGCAGACATCACCACGAGCACTGTAGTTGAGTACGAGGATGGAGTTAACTTCTCTGTTCCTAATGTTTGTGCTGTCCCTGCAGTTGATCGTTTTTGTTTTGCTGCTGCTGTTGCCGCTGTTGCTGCGTCTGCCCATGTTCATCAGTACACCCATGCTATGCCCTACCAGGTTATGTCACCGCAACCCCGACCGCGTTGTTCTCCCCTGTTATCGCAGTCTCCCGCATGGCAGCCAGTCGGGGCCCAGTTGGGGGAGAATGGATACTCCCGGCTCTACTCACAGCAGGTACGGGAGGGAGTGGAATGGGGGGGCTTAAGGGAGAGGCGAGGGTTCAGAGACCTTCATATGTGTGTACATATATATACAGGTTAAAGGTTGGGGATTTGAACGATGGCGGAATGCTGGGGGGGGGGACGGCGCTGGGCTGCGGCATGTTTTGGCCATTAGCCACACACTGCGCCTTTTCCGCTGATAAATAGTTTAGTTCTGTGGTGCTTTCGCAGTTGAGCCCATGTGAAATCCCTCCCTCCCTCCATGCAGCCACCTATACCTTTATATAAAGCACTCTAAGTTGTAACAAGAATACACAAGTAGTGGCTGTATAAGCTCTCGCAGTCTGACTGCACTCCCCATCACGTTACATTGCTGTCAAGATTACGCAACACATCTTTGGTCAGTAAAATATCCCTGCAGCATTTCTCTTCTCCTGTACCACCCATCTTTGGTATCTGCTCCATTCGCCAGTGGCTCGTCTTACCCTCCCTACCCTCCCTACCCTGCCAACCCTGGCTGCCGGAAATCGGCGATTTGGACTTCAGCATTAGTAAAGTTTCCCAGTTTGCATTTATTATTCCACTACTGGTCGGTAACTTCTAACAACTTGTATCACTATCTGTGTCGAGCCCATGCGTGTATCTCTGGTGTCTGCTTCATTCGTTCGTGTTTCGTCTTAACTCTGTCCACCGCTGTCTCCCATCGTCCATCCCCAAGAAAAGCGGTTCTCAAGCCCCCTCTCCCTCTCCCGTTTCAGGAAGTTGAGGCCCTGGTGGGCGGTGTTTTGCAGTACGGCTGCAACTGGGGCATGATTCTAGCGAAATGTCCGGAGCTTAGAAACAGAAATAAGGTGGGCGGGTATGTATGGATGTATGGATGTATGTGCGGACGGGGTTGCCTTTGCTGCATATTATCAGTTCCCTCATCACTTGTCCAATTTCCCCATGTGCATGTTCATGACCCCCACTCCGCCTTTCTCCGTCTTCGGGTAACTCCCCAGGATGCGTGTCTGCCCTCCCGCACTCACCCCCCTCCTTTCCCCCGCCTCTCTCCCTAACCGCTCCCTTCCCTAAGTATTCCCTTCGCTACAAGTGGGACAACCTGTGTGCGGTTGTATCGTCGGGTCGTTGGGATTGCTACCGCGGGGAGGTGCTGTCCGGGGTCTGCCCTCCCGCACTCACCCCCCTCCTTTCCCCCGCCTCTCTCCCTCCCCGCTCCCTTCCCTAAGTATTCCCTTCGCTACAAGTGGGACAACCTGTGTGCGGTTGTATCGTCGGGTCGTTGGGATTGCTACCGCGGGGAGGTGCTGTCCGGGGAGCTCAGGAACAAGGTGGCCGAGGCATTGGCCGTGTGGGGACGGAGGGTGCGTGCGGGTTGGGGGTGAGAAGGGCCAGGGCGGGTGTGGAGAGGCCGGGTGTTGGAGTATTGGGTGGGTGGGGGAGGAAGGAACCGCCGGTGTGGGAAATCATTTACACAAGAAGGAATGACTAGGGTGGCAGGATGGAGGGGCGGTGATGGTGATGGTTTTAGCGGGTCCGAGAATGACGGTATGGCGAGAGGGTGGGACGGAGGGTCGAGGGAGTGTGGATCGAAGTGGTTAACTCCTCCTGGTGCCTGGGGAGCTATCTGTCCCCTCCGACCTCCACTCTCCATCTCCCATTTCTCTATTTCCTTCTCCATTTGCCCCTTTTGCCCGCCTGCCGCCCCCGCGCCCTCGCGCCCCTCGCCCTCTCCCCGGCCGGCCTCCTCCCGGCGCCTCCACTGCACCACCACTCGGTTCGCCCCTGTGACGGCACGCGGGGGTACCTCTTGTCGCGGCGCCCTCCCGCCCTCGCCCTCTCCCCCGTCACCGTCACCACTACCACCACCATCACCATCACCATCACCACCGTCAGGGGCCCTTGGGAGGCGGCAAATGCGGCAGGGGAACAAGCCTAGTAGTGCCAGATCATTTGGTGGCCGAACTGTACGGCAAGAATGTCGTACGGGAGAAGGTCAAGGTTCAGGTGCGTCATGGCTTATTACAGTAACATGATGCATGCGTGGGTTTGCCGTAGCCGTGATCGTGTCGGTTGCGGTATAAGGGTGTGCACGACAAGGTTGTACGACGGCAACCCCTGCATGGAGGAGTGGGCTCTGAATCGGCAATCATATGTGTGAAGTGAAGTGATGGGGGCAACGTGCTTTCAATGCCTTCTCGGCCGCCGGCCCTCGACCGCCCGCAGACTTCGGCACTTACTTGCTTTTTGAATCCCCATGTGATTTTCCCCCGCAACCCCTCTTCCCTGGAGCTGTCTCGTGTATTAGAGTAGAGTGGCACAAGTGGCTCCTTCATTGCTTCCGCCAGCCCATCCTTCTTGGTTTGTACGGCACTCCTCATTCTCACTTCGGGCTCCCTCTCCTCCCCCCTCGCCTTTACATTTTCCTGCGTTCTCACCATCCAGGTCCGTCTCAACGGCATCTTGCTGCCTGAAGTGTACGACGCTGTACTCCGTCGCTTCAGCGCCCGTCGGCAGTACATGCTGGTGCAGTGTTCCTCCCTCCGGTGGGCGGTGGAGGAGCAGGGCCGGCTGGTGGGTTGGCAGAGGGCGGATTGCGCCTCCCCCTCTCCGGCCTTTCCGGCGGATCTCGAGGCGCTGCTGAAAACTGGGCAAGGCGAGGGAGAAGTAAGAGAGGGGCATGGGGGGAGAGAGGTAGGGGAAGATGGCGGTCAGGAGGAGGATTGCGCTGTAGAAGGGGGGCATAGCAGGGCTGCAGCAGAGTATGGGGAGGGTTATGGAGGGGGTATGGAGGAGGAGGAGGAGGAGGAGGAAGAAGGGGAGGAGGAGGAGGATGTCAGCAGTGGGGATTACATGGAGGGGGGGATAGCCGGTGGTGAGGGGGTTGGGGATGGGGTTGAGGGGGGTGCCGGTGATAAGGACGATTGACGGGAAGGTGGCGAGTGAGTAACGATTAACGAGCAGCAGCAAGTGTATTGGGAGGCGGCGACGGCGAGGATGGCTAGCATGGCTAGGGATGGTGCATCAGAGGTGGCGGCGGGAGGAAAGCTGCCGAAAGCTAAAGAATCAGTAAAGTGTGTTCCATCAGCCATTGGTCCCTAGGGATTTTTGAATTGCGCAAAAGATTTTGTTCGGGTTTCGTTTTCCTACTGCTCGTGGCGGCAAAGGAAGTTCATTACCGCTCGTATCCCTAAAACCCTAAGTTGCGGTGAGAGGCTGTAGCAATGGGCGTTGCTAGGGGCTGCAAATGAATTGCAAAATGATTGAAGATGCAGTTTAGGTACGTGAGGTACAACCAAAGGACAACAGACATACTGCGATCATGTGTTGTTGGGTTGAGGTTTTTTTATCTATGGAACCAGTGAGGGTTCCAGGAGGCCATTTCAAACCGTCCTTCCTTCGTCCTTACGTGCAGAAGTCCCTGGGTGATGGGGTATCCGCAATCTGGAATGAAGAGATGCGGATGGATGACATGGATTGGGAAGAGGCAATATGCCCCCCAACGAGATTTTTTAACGAACAACAAAAGTCTTAATCGCCCCGTATATGCAGGATGTTGTTTTCCCTCCCTCCTTTCCCTGCTGGGTCCTCCACCCCGGATGACTGACTGACTGACTGGCTGTAGCGACGGCGGAGGGCTAGAGGCTACTATTGCTATCGCTCCGAAGACACACAGCAATGTCTGCCATGACATGCAGACCCTTGTCCTATCGGGACCCACTGTTGGGGTAGACCTGCTACTCGATAGCACTGCCATCGTCCATTATGTCACTGCGATCGATGTCATCATCTGTACACGAC